ACTCCTGGGCAGAGGACAACAAGATGACACTGAACGGTGGGAAGAGCCTCCTTCTCCAGATCTGCTTCAGTCGATCTGTCCCAATCCCACCCACGATCACTCTTGGAGGTCAACCAGTGCCATCTGTCGACTGTGCTAAGGGACTGGGTTTCCTCATAGACAAGGACCTAACCTTCAATGAACAGGTTAACTCCATGATCAGTAACGCTTCGCGCAGACTACACTACTTGCGCCTACTAACGAAACAAGGCACCAGCGTTACCGACCTAATCCAGATTTATCTGGCGCTAGTCCGGCCAGTGCTCGAATACGGACATGTGTTACTGGTCGGGTGTAGTAAGGAGCAAGAACTGGCCATCGAAAGGGTCCAGCGCCGGGCCTTGCGTATCATTTCCTTGGGAGGAAGGCGTAGCGTGCCTGACCTGCCCACACTGAAGTCGAGGAGGGAAGATGCGGCAGTACGCCTGCTCCAACGCATGCTTCAGGAGAACCACCCTCTACATGACCTAGTACCGCCCTCAAGGTCTGGTGCCACGGGACGGACACTTAGAAACTCTAGCACTATCAGTGTACCAAGGGCCCGGACTGAGAGACTAAGAAATTCTTTCCTCCATTGCGCAATCCGTCTTTACAACAAGACAATTAGCACTGAGTAATTGGACATCTGGTAATCGCGCCAGGCACAGCATATGTTTAACTGTGACATGTTATTTGTGATGTTTTTAATATTGAGATTTTACCTATGTGATGATTCGTTTTAAAATGTAAATGTGTTTAATGTGACTGGTGTAATAAGGACGTAATTCGGGTGTGTTGCCCGCGAGTTCCTTAATGAATAAAGATTGATTGATTGATTGATTAATGTTTTGTGAATATGGCTGTAATTAAAACCAGAAAAAATCATCACACACAAGTGTTTTTTTTTTCATAACCGTTGTGTTTACATTTCAGGAGAGTGGCAGGAAATGAAGATTATTGATGGCAGGGACACCTTGACTGCTGACCTTGACCTTCATCCATGGAGCAATTATCAATTCAGGGTCACTGCTAGGAACAAGGTCGGAGAAAGCAAACCCAGCGACGCCACAGAAGAATATGAAACTTTTGCTTCAGGTATAACAGTTATTTATACCTGGCTGTGGTTCAAGTTTTCTTTAGATGTAAACATAGGTGCCTTTGTTTTAATACTGTTCACAACTTTCTTACTTGTCTAAATGTCCTCTTAATACCATCTTAAAGGTTTCTAAAAGTCAGGTTTCAAGAACATACACGGCCTAGCTCTGCCAGTTCAGAGGTATCTCAACACATTCACATAGAGTCACCCGGACATTATGTTTCACTTGACACTGTAAGGATTTTAGACACTGAACAAGACTATTTCTTGAGAGGGGTGAAGGAAGCCATTTACATCAGGGCCCATCACCCTACATTGAACCGCGACGGGGGCCGACATCGTCTACCAGATACCTTTGACCCAGTGTTGACGTCACACTTCAAAGAAGCCACGTGACAAGCTTCACTGGGTCAGTCTACTGAGGAAGACCAGAGTGACTGGTCGAAAGCTCTAGGTGAGAGATATTTTGTGTTGGATCAAAAGTCTTAACTTTAAACAATACCATCTTAAATTGTCCTCCAGCACCAAATGCTGTTCCTGGTGGCATCAAGGGGGAAGGCACTAAGCCCACCAACATGGTAATCAGCTGGGAGGTAAGAACTGCGTCTGCTCTAATGACAAAACAATCTTTTAATATGTATTCACCTATTTTTGCATTGTGAGAGTTGTCACATTTCAAGTTGCGCTCAAATCTGCTTGTGTCAAACCTGTGTCTTCCAGCCTCTCCCTGGCCTCCAGCAGAACGGCCCAGGCCTGAGGTACGAGGTGCGCTACCGTCAGAAGCCGCAGAACAGGAAACGTCGCCCGTGGACCGTGGAAACTGTGAACGATCCCAATGGGAAGGAGTTCATTGTGGAGGACACCCCAACACACACAGCGTACGAGATCACCGTGCAGGCCAAGAACGATTGTGGCGATGGTCCACTGTCTGATGTCGTTGTTGGTTACTCTGGAAGTAAGTTGTTTCATGGATTGAGAAGTAGCCATATATGAACTCCACACTGCTGCTTGATAGTACAGGTTAATTTTGAATACCTGTTTTTGTTTTGGTTCTAAGTATTGTCATAAGCCTCTCTTAGTTTTTTTTGCAATACACAGTCCCTTCAGCTACAGTAGAAGTTGGGGACGTCCAACCGAGGAGTGTGAGGCTTGACTGGGACCCCATCGATGAGGAGTTTTTCAATGGAGACCTGAAGGGTTACAAGGTAAGGGCAAACCTGAAAATATAGAGTGTTTTCAGGGTTCAAAGTTCCACCTTCATGAAGTATCCAGGTTAGTGCAAGTAAAGTTGGAGTAATGGTGTTGTCTAGCTATGATTAAGGTGGACTGTGCTCTCAGGGGTGGAAATACCACCAGTATATGAGTTAAGTGCAGGTTTAAGTTGGAGTTTTGCAGGTTTTCCATCCAAGCATCTGTCACCAAAGTTGAATGACACATGGTATAGCTGCTGTCCTTGGTGCTGAATACTCTGGTGTCATGCAGTGGGACTTTCCGAGTGGTATCTATTTTACTACGTCATCTGCAACAATGCTTGTATTGAACATTATCTTGGACATAGAAAGCAAGCCACTCATACTTGTCTGTTCCTCCCTAGGTCCGTTACTGGTCTGATGATGACCCAGACAATGTGATGGAGAAGACCTTCGAGGGTGACGAGCCTACTGCTCTGGTCGACGGTCTCACACCTTATAAGAACTACAACTTTGAGGTAAATCATGTATTGAAAACAGGCAAAGGTTAGCAATATAATGCAAGTTATCAATTTTTCTGTACAAATTACATATTGAGAGTCTTACATTAGAGAACATTAAATTACATAAAAGTAGTGAAATTCAATAACTGACACAGCTAGATCTTAACGTTTGTGACATCAACTCGGAGTGACATACCTGGAATTGTATTTTTGCGTCACATTGTAGGGAGAATAGAATTTGCAGAAAGGACCTTTGCTGCAGATGTAAGATGTAGACAAAGTGATAGCCATGCTTTTTTTTTAGAATAAGCTCATGGTAACATGGCATCCATACTTTTTGCAGGTTGTTCCTTACAATGGGAAAGGAGAAGGTCCACCCAGTACTCCTCCAGTGAAGGCCAGCACTCCTGAGTCAAGTGAGTCATTCATTCATTTTTTATATATTTTTTCCCCAGTAATTATAGCATAGGTCAAATGACATGGTGATTCTTAACATGCAAACTCCTCACTAGATTTTAGTCTGTTCTGCTTCGCCAAATTAGTCAAACTTTCATGCTGCTGGAAACGATTGCAGTTCTTATGGGAAAGGAAGGAAGCTGTCATCCTCTGTTTGTCATATTAGGAATTTGGCAGTGCACTAGCATCTACATTTTTCCAGCTTGTTAAGACCGACGAGTCGGTTCGACAGGAAGTAGAGGAAGTTTGTGGCAAACAACAATCTCTCCTGTCAACTGTCAAGCAGCGGAAGCTGATATGGTTCGGGCACGTTTGCCGACACAACACGCTTGCGAAGACCATCTTGCAAGGCACCGTAGCTGGAGGAAGGAAGCGGGGAAGGCCAAGAAAGACCTGGCTAGACAACATCAAGAAGTGGACTGGCCTGAGCACAGCACAGCAGATCAGGGAGGCCGAGGACAGAACAGGATGGACCTGGATCACTGCTGGATGCTGTCATGATGCCCCCACGACCTCTGAGGTCACGGGACGAGAGTGAGAGTGAGTGAGTGAGTAAGACTGATGGATGATCAGAATGTTCAGTAAACAAAATGGAATCCCCACACATTTTCATCACATTTTGTTTTTCCCGACAGCTCCTGGAGCTCCAAGTGCCTTGTGGGCTACCGTTTGGGACAGCAAAACCCTGAATGTGCAGTGGGAGCCACCACTTCAGCCCAACGGTGTCATCACAGGCTACCTCCTCACCTACAGAACATGTATGTTAAGCCATGGTCAACATTTAAGGCTACTAGCCTGGGTACCATACTCATTAGTATACCATGTTGTAACCTCTAAAATAAGTATGACAGAAATGAAATTTCTCTGTGAACGCATTTCGACAACTATTTTTTTACCTTGATTTAGACGAAATTCTCTTATGTTTGTGGTTTCTAAGTACTTTGCTTAAAATAACGAGGTTATACAAGTCTGTTAAACTTAGTCAATATCTGCTTTTGAAATGCCTATAGCATTGGAAATGCTAACTGTGCTCTGTGTGTGTCTTTCTTGTGTATTATGTTTGGTCTCCCTTCAATCTGTCCTTTGTTTCTGTCACTTTCTATACACTTCCCTCCTTCCGTCTGGCCTTGTCTTTTTTCCTTCTTGTTTCATGCCTTGTTTATTTGTTTATTAAAGTTCATCACAACAGTGAAAGGGACGGGGAACAGGTGTAACACCTTTACCAGCCCTCGTCCCGATACAGCATACAAATACAATAGACTCAAGTATAAAATAATGAGTGAACAATATGAGAATTACATATACATAATGAAAAAAAAGAGACGGCATGATTAACAGGCTTAATATAGACAGACTACCGAACCCTCAAAGCCTGACAAGACGCGCACTTGCACGCAGTGGACCATGTACAGAGGTTGTCAGGTTCAAAGTGTTGTTCGAATCTCTCAACAGCATATTTCACAAGACAACGCTTAAAAGACAATAAGTCAGACTGATTTGACGTCGAAGCCCCTTTGTTACGAACTGCGACGTCAACATTATTCCATTTAGTTACCAAGCGCGGTATGTATGACATGGCAAATGTTGTATGTTTTACTAACGGCTTGGCATTGATATGTAAGACCGGTTACTCCTTGCTGGTCTGGTGGAACATGATACATATTCATACACGTTCAGGTCATACATACTTGACAGGGACTTAACGAAAACCATGATGTCGGCAGTCTGCCTCCTGTAAGACTTCACACATTTTTGCCTAGTGCCAGAACCGGGTACACTAGAAGGGCGCTTGGGACCCCGCATGGAGATCCATGTCGACGACCCCACCACCACCGCTGCCGAGCTGAGTGACCTGGAAGAGCAGACGTGGTACCGGATCGAACTGCAGGCAAAGACGAGCATTGGACTGGGTGATATGAAGGAGCTGGAGACCTACACCTCTGACCCAGCACGTATGTGATGTTGCTATTGTTTGCTTAAAGTTAAGACTCTTGATCCAACACAAAAATTCTCTCACCTAGAGCTTTCGACCAGTCACTCTGGTCTTCCTCAGTAGACTGACCCAGTGAAGCTTGTCACGTGGCTTCTTTGAAGTGTGACGTCAACACTGGGTCAAAGGTATCTGGTAGACGATGTCGGCCCCCGTCGCTTAGGTGAGAGAATTT